GGCATACAGCAGCAGACAGTGAAACAAAAATACGAACATGGAAAGAATATATAAATGAGACATAGATATACATTGTACCAAGGTCATTATTATCAAGACAATGTAGCGCACGTGTAGCAGAACAAACGCTCGTGATATTTGAGGCACACAGAATGAATGAGGCCGCAATACTCAGAATCGAAAGAAATTTGGGCGGGGTGTTTGGATATTTTCTTTGTTACACAAACTAAAGTAAAATTAAGGAGAAAGAAATAAAAACAATAAAAGATAATAGCTAATAAGGCTAAACCAAAAATATTAAATGAACAGAACAAAGAAACACATGACAATGAATGAGTCAAAGAAAAGGCGATGCCAGGAAAGTAAATTAGTGATATGTATTTCGGTATATCAGAAAACAAACTTAATATACATTTAAGCTAAGTATAAACATTAAAGCCAAGTATACTTACACAAAGGCCGTATTGTACCAAAAGAACCCAATATACAAGTACTACATAATATAAATATAATAATATGCATTTTATAATAGATTTATTTTTACTAGACGTATGCAAGTATCTTATTTATTATATTTTAATTAAAAAGCACGATTTTTTTATTTATACATAATGCTAATCATCGTACGTGTCAAAAATTTCATCTTATTTTATTTGTTGTAATGTATTATCAGCAATTTACCATATTTTTAACAGAATTAATTATTTCACTTATTTAATAGCTATTAGTTATACATTTTATTTTGAGCTAATACTTAATTGATACTTTGTATTTAATAACTTACAGTAGTGGTTTTTATTTTTAATAAATTTAGGTAAAGGTTAAATATTAAAATGTAAAAAGTGGGTTTTGCGTAAACTGCTAAAAATTTACAATTTTCAACTCGCACTAGAAACCGAACGATTCGTCTGAAAAAAAAAAACTAAATACTGGTATTTGTAGAAAATTTCAAGTACTTTAATTTCTGTAAACAGACCATTTACCAAAAGTTGATAGTTTTCGAGTTTTAAGCAAAAAACCTGAAAAAAGCAAAAAAATGGTTTTACAATAAAACACTGAAAACTTTGTTTTCAAACTTCCACAAAATTTATTTTAAATATTATCACTGCAGCTGTTTCAGCTGATTGCCTTTCTCAAGTGATCTATTTGGGCTTGGGTTTACATCGGTCAAAGTGGTAGAAACTTTGATAAACGAATAGCAGAACATAAAAGGGCTTTCAAGACTAGAAAAACAGATTCGACATACGCACTTCACCTTCTAGATCATAATCATTCTTTTAATGACAAATTTAAAATTCTTCACATTCAAAATAAAGGCCTTAAGCTATCTTTGTTAGAATCTATGGAAATCAACAAATTAAAAAACACAGATATAATTCTGAATTACCAACTTGAGACAAACAGTTCTCTTCTCCTCAACCTATTTCATTAGAGACTATAAATTTGTAAACCCAAGCCAAAATAGATCACTTGAGAAAGGCAATCAGCCGAAACAGCTGTAGTGATAATATTTAAAATAAATTTTGTGGAAGTTTAAAAACAAAGTTTTCAGTGTTTTATTGTTACATAAAATGAATTTCCATCAAGTAACGGTCGAATCCATCAATTATTTAAAAAAAAATGGTTTATTCTGTTTTCTTTAATGTTGCGTCACGAAATTTTGTCCGCAAACCGCAGATTCGGATTAAGCACCCCAAAAAACATATGGAATGAAAAAATCAGAACTACCCCAAAACTCTCCTAGCAAAAATAGAATTTAACTGAACTATGACCTATTAAAATCACTTTGCCGAGTACACTGGCATTACAGCCACTAGACATATTTGATTATATAGGTACGCGTAGAAATAATATTTAAAGATTTCTATTAATGTTAACTTAAAGAAATACACAATAATATGTTTCATTTAATTTGTATAAATGCATTATAAAGCGTTTTTATGAAGAAAATTTGAACACACTGTAACTGTAATCGAACGAAGGTGATATTTTGGCATAAATTGGTAACACTTATTTGACAGTTGCGGTGTTGACATTTTATGAATTTTATTATTTTGAATTTTAAAGTGAATACCTCTTGTTTTATATTTTTACCTACCTATTTAATAAAATCTGTTCTTTTTAGAACAAAATTAGTGTGTTTTATTTCAAAAATGTAACGTAAGAATTTAAATAGTCGTTGTAAAGAGATGGTAATACTTTTGCAATAATTATATGACCTATTTGATTCAAAATGGAGTCAGGATTTTTTATACTTTGGCAACTATGTCTGTCAATGATAATGACGTGCAACGGTAAGTAAATTAGATAAAGTATATATGCTTTTTGTGGATTTCCGGGTTTGACTCCGCGTTGAAAAATTTTGGTTTTGATAAAAAGGAAAATTGTCTATCTCATAAACTAATCACTTTAAGCCAAATGTATTATACATCTTTGAAATCAGTGTTTGATTTTGAAATTTGAGGGAATGTGCATTTCCCAGCAATCTTAAATATGATATGTCTCCCCATCCAAATATTAATTGGCATGTTTTTGCGTTTTTCCAAAAAATTAGAAGTTCAAAAGTTATTTAAGGTGGATAGTTTATAAATATTTTCAATTTATTTTTATCAGTGGTTGAAAGGGTCCACGTTTCGCATCCATATGTGACCACTGATCTAATTACTCTTTTGTAGATTCTAAGCTTAGACTCACGATTTACTTACTTTTCATTAAGTCTTTGTATGCATAAGAGCACCTATTACCGGTAAGAATCCGTGCTTGACTGATGTTGTTGTCATTTATTATAGCGCCTAGGTAGGGAAAGGTTGAGGCATATTCGTAGATATGATTGTCCACTTTCAGATCCTCAGGTCAATTCGACCTTGTGCACTCCATATATTTTGTTTTCATTTCATTTATAGTTAGTCAAATCTATTGTTTTTTTACTTAACACCCGTCTATTGCAGCTTATTATCGCAACATCATCAGCATATGGGCCTATTTAAGTGTATCTTGAATTAATATTGCCGTTATTTTCTAATAATAGCTTTTAAAGTTAGATTAAAAAGTGTTGTTGATAAGGCATCACCTTGCCTAACTCGATTTTCAAATCAAATATCTCTGTCATGTCCGCATCTATTATGACCATGGCTTTTGAAACCTTCAGCGTCATTTATATTAGTTGTTTAACTATACTATAGAAAAGTTTAACTAACTTTTACGGTATTCCTAACATGGATAGTTGTTTTAACATTTTTTGTCTATCTACTCCATCAAACGCCTTTTTGAAACCAATATACAAGTTGTAAATTTGTTTGTTATATTTAGCACATTTTTCTTGTATACCTCTGACCATATGTATTTGCTCTTAAGTGACCTTTGTTCTGAAACCACATTGGTATTCACCAATAATCTCTTCCGAAAATGATTTAACGCGGCTGTATATAACATTTAGTGCTGTTATGCTGTTATAATTTTCGCAGAGTCGTTTCCCCCCTCCCTCTCCCCCACTTGTACATTGAAAATGATTCATATTTTCCAATCCTCTGGGATGACTCATAGTTTCCATATGCGGCAGATTAGTTTATGAATACGCTTCCATAGCACATGTCCACCATTCTTTATCAGTTCTGCAGCTATTCCATCTGTGCCAGACGTTTTGTTATTTTTCAGATGTTTGATGGCATCTATTTTCTTTCAATGTTGGTTCCTCAACTAGTTTTTCTACTCTGTGATAAATTATTTCTTCTTCTTGGTTTTGTTCCTTTTCTAGGTTTAGGAGCTTTTGAAATTTATCCTTCCACCTTTTCATTAGCTCTTTCTCGCTGATAATTGCGCCGTTTTTGTTCGTGCACACTGTTGTTGTTATGTGTCCTTGAGTGTATCGCTTGATTTTCTTGTAAACTTTCCTACTCTCTCTTCTGTTATTATAGTCTGTAATTTTTTTTTATTATTCTATTTAGCATTTTTCTCTTTTTCTTTCTTCTATTATATTCTGCTTGCATCCCTTCTTAGTTCTTAATATGCCCTATTATTCAGTTGGGAATTCCTTTGTAGACATTTCCGTCTAACTGCATTTTTGCTATTTATTACTTCGCAATCTTGGCCAAACCAGTCCTCATTTTTTTTTTGCTTGAGGTTTTACGTAATGTTTTTCTATTTGATGGTATTTTCTTCTGTTTCGTTTAATATTAGTTTTATTTTCTGCTGGTACTGATTCTTCTTCATATGATTTTTAATCATATATGTGTTCCATTTTCTTTGTTTGGCACCTTCCACTTTTTTTACCATTGATACTCTTTTTCTTATCTTTGACATGACGAAGAAATGATCCGATTACAATTAGGGCCTCTATAAGATTTAACATATGTTACGGATGTTGCCCATCACGTAGATATTAATATATGATCAGTTTGAATTAAATTTATTACTGCCAGGTATCATACAGGTTCCTTTATGAATATTTTGCCAACTGTACCACTCTGATGCCGTTGTTGCAGGTAATATCATGTAAATTATGCTTACCAAAGGATTCTGCAAGTATTGGCTCTTTTCAACGTTTATATCATCCAGAACTATAACTGCATCTCCTCTTTGCACGTTTTCACATTCTCCTTGTAGTTGTTCGGAGAATTGTAATGTTATGAAATTTACCTCTTAGACGTATTTTACAGATTCTTTTATTAACTGTATTCTTTCCTTTCAGTAACCTACTTTATGGTGGGACTAGTTGTAAAATAAAATATTCAAATTTGAAAATGTATTTATAAAAAAATGTTTATAAAATTGGTACCAGTTTTTGAGATGGGTGATCTACATATTTGTATATAGCGAAAAATGTTACATAATATAGAATAGTTTTCAACTATCCACCCTTTCATGCAGACAGAAAGTTGCCTTGCTGCCGGACTAATGATAATTTTAGTGTTATAGACAAGTAGATATATTTTGATAATGTTTACAAATTTTCTTAGCATTACACATGTTATGGAAATATTATATTGGTTCTCATATAATACCTCTTATATAATGATTTTTCCTGTAACAAGAAGCTTTAGCAGAACTTCTGACGTCAGAAAGTGTACTTGGAATTACACTGCCACTATTTTCGATCATAACCACAAACAACTAAAACGAACAAATCGCGAGCATATTTTAATTTTTGTGCAAATTTAATGCGTCAATTCAACGGTTTACATCATGTCTCCTGAGGATGCTACTCGTGTTGACGACGCGAGCTTTTCATGTCTTAAGACGTTACAGCCATGAAGTTACCGTCCGTCATTAAGTGCTTGTAGAACAAATATATTTTGATTTTTACTCCAGTAGGGGAAAATGGAAAAATCGTTTTACCAAGAATTTGTACGTCGAAGAAAAAAATGCGTTTAAGATGATTTTAAACAAAAACACTTTTTCTGTAGAACGAACCGTTCTCTTAGAACCAACGTTTGAAGCGACCGGTGATTTTCATTGTCAGGTACGCGCGCGAAATCAATTTTAAATAAAATTTATATCAACTCCACTGTAAAATTTCGGTATCTTTTGATCAGAGTGACCCATAGACAAAAATAAAAATGTGTTTTAAAGATAAAGAGAGCAGCTTTCGCATGCAATTGGATTTTGCCGCATATAAAGTCAATTTCTATAGAGCTGTTAAATCAATAAACGTTTAGAGATTCTTACCATTTTTTTTACGATTCGCATGAGATTACTTCCATTGACCGGTCACTATAGAATTTTCATTATTAGACGCCAACCTTCAAAATATATAGCCTGAAATTTCGGTTTTGAGATTAACCAACAAAAATGTGACGCATTTGAAATATGCCTAAAAAAGCTAAATTTAAACTTTCACATTACAAACGATCTAAAACGTTTAAAGCTGCTTTTTTATTTCATAAGTACGTTTTTTAAAACGCCACAACCTTAGCTACAAACTCCACCTAATACTCTCTTCGTGGAAGCATTTTTAGTGACGGCAGATCGTTTGTGATGTGACTGTTTAAATTCATTGATTTTTGGGCATATTTCAAATGCCTCACATTTGTCACCCAAATTAAAAACCTAAATTTCAAGCTATATGTTTTGAAGATTGGGCTCTTATAAAGAAAATTTCGTAGTGACCAGTCAATAGAAGTGATAAGTATCATTGATCTCGTAAAAATGGTAAAAATCACTAAACGTTTATTTATTTGACACCTCTAGAGAAACTGACTTTGTTTTCAGCAATATACAAAAATTTTATAAGAAATTCACTTTTTACCTTATATATGCGAAATACGCATTTCGATTTTTGTCGATAGGACAATTTTATTAAAAGATATAGAATTTTTACCGGTGAGTTAATACAATTTTTATTTAAAGTTGATTTTGCGCTCGTACCTGACGTTCATCAAAATCACCCCTCACTTCAAGCACTGCTTCTGAGAGGACGATTCATTCTACATCAAAAATGCTAATAAACATTTTTGTTTAATATTATCTTTGCTACATTTTTTATTTGAAACATTTTTTTCTACGGCATACATATTCTTGGTAAATTGATTTTTTCCGTTTCTCCCTACCTACGAGGGGGGTTTTAGGGAGAAGCTTTAGGTTAAAAGTGATAAACTTCTTTGCATCCTTTTTGGGCTCCCAATTGGAGTAACATTCTCAGCAAAATGAAGCTGATTCTTATGATTTTTTGAGGTGGCTATTTATCCTAAAATAAAATAAAAAACGGATTTTTTACCAGGCTAAAATTTATTGGTCAACTATGAAGCTTGTATAAAAAATAGCAGAATTTTTTATTTTATTTATTCTTAATAGTGGAGACGTTTATTATTTGGTGATTACAAATATTGATATTTTTTTTTCCTTATCTAATATTTTGAGGTTATTGCAAACATCTTGGACACTCCCTGGGTAGTACACATTGCCCGTTACTGGTATTTCGGACGTATCCTTCTTTACACAAACATTCGTTAATACATAGCAGCGGACATGGTCGGATACACGAAATAGGTTTAGGATTGTCACAAGTAGGTTCTGGGCAACATGGTCTACATCCAAAGAATTGATTTCGACCGCATCTGTCTGTAAATAAAAGTTTGATTTAGTTTTTAAACACATTTATACCTGATATAAGAGAAGACCCGACTTAACCCGACAAAAAATATTCTACACAAAAGAAGATGCGAAAAACTGTCCTTCATAGATTATAATTTAGAACGACTTTGGTACCAAGTCCAAACCAAGTACCAAGTGCCAGCGTTTGATACCAAGACATAAAGAGCAATTGTAATAAAAGTCAAATACATTGAAATTTCGTAAATGACGATGAAATTAAACCATTTCGTAAACCAAAAATATTAGTGCGTGATATTTGTCTTCATAATTATCAATATACACTCAGGTGCAAAAAAATCGATCCATGGGTATTATTTGCTGAAAAAAGAAAACGTTTGAAGATATCAGTTTTAAATCAGGTATATATGTAAAAGTATATGTTACATTAAAATTATTTTTACAGATTATCCAAAAAAGTCAAACATTGATAATAAGTCAATATCTAGTGTTTCCCCCTCGGGCCCTTATAACAGCCTGTACACGTCTAGGCATTGAGGTAATTAACCTCTGGATATCAAATTGATCCAATTGGTCCCATATTTATTGAAGAGCCGCTGTAAGTTCAGCCAAGTTGTTTGGAAGGGGTACTCGTGCTCGAAGACGTCTTCCCATCATATCCCATAGATGTTCTATGGGATTGAGATCGGGACTGCAAGCTGGCCAGTTCATACGGACAATTCACACCTCCTCTATTATATTGGTTGACGATTCTAGCACGGTGAGGACGCGCGTTGTCTTTCATAAAAATAAAATTAGGTCCAATGAAAGGAGCAGAAGGTACCACATGCTGATCTAAAATACTTGTTATATATCTTGCAGCAGTCATAGAACCTCTATCTACAATAACTAAATCAGTATGGGCTTCTAAACTGATACCAGCCCAAACCATAACAGAACCCCTCCCCCCGATAACTTCTTCTTTCCGCAATATTACATTGAAAATAATTCTCCCCTGTCTTCTCCAACCCCTTTCTCGGCCGTGTGGAGACCTTAGACAAAATCTGGACGCATCTGAGAACAATACATTGCTCCAATCTGCATCACAACAGTTTTCATGTTCTCTTGCAAAAGAAAGGCGAGCTTTGCGATATTCTATGGATAGTATTGGAGATAGGGCTGGCCTTCTGGATAATAAATTACCTTCTACAAGTCGTCGACAAACTGTCCATCTGCTTACATCCACATTTCTCACTTCGCTCAGACAATTTGCCAGTTCAACTGAAGTTAGATGCCGATTTCTCAAACATGATGAGACCAAAAATCAATCATCTCTTTCGGATGTTACCCTTCTACGACCTGATCCTGGTCTTCTTGTGAAGTTACCGGTGTCGCTAAAACGCCGAACTGCTCTTTGAACCGAAGATCGACTAACACCCAACATTTCAGCAGCATAATATTGGCTACGACCATCTTGAACTAAAGTCACCGCCCTTGCAGCATCGGTCGGAGTTAGAGACATTTAGGAAGGATAATTAAATAAAAATATAACATGTTTTTAAAATAAAATCACTACACTATTGGTTATAGTATGGTTGTTAAATTAAAAACAACATTAAATAAATATCTACTTGCTTCAGACCCTTTTTGACAAAAACCTGAAATACCAATTTGTTTTAAGAAATATAAAAAGCAAAATTAAAAATATTATTTTATTTATTGAATACGAAGGTACACCTAAATTTACATACTTAATTTAATGTCTCTAAAATTATACAACTTCAAATAGATAAGAAATAAGGAATGGATCGATTTTTTTGCACTTGAGTGTAGTTTTAAATTTTATTTAAAAAAGTTGTAAGCAACTGTGATACGGAAAATCGACTACATCGTTATTGAGAGCTGCTGTCAATAAATTTACGATAAGTGAAATGGTAGCTAACATGATATCCAACGATCAATAATGGCCATGGCACTAGAAGAAGAAGATACATATGCTATTGTATACGAGTGGTTAAAATTCAGAAATAGTACAATATTTTAATTTTCTAAACGACTCAATATTGTTTTTTTTTTGACGGCGGTAGAGTATAATATAAAGGTCCGATGATCTGCATGTTTCTGATACCTTAGATAATCTATTGAAGTAATATCTCTATATTCCTTATCTCTACCTTTTATATCGTATACTCCACATTGTTTTCATGTTTCGTTTTAAAATAGATTTTGTTGAATTGGATTGTTTCATTACTTATTTATTCATTACAGCAATCTGGGAATTTTGTTCAAAGCCTTCGCGTATTTTGTATTATAAACTAAAATATTGTTGTTAGCTTATTTCAAAGCAGATATGTTTTTACATTGATAACATATTTTATATTTTTACTAGCAAAAGTATTCCAGTATAAGAATTATTTAATAAGGTTTTGAAACTGTTTTCTTGCGGCATATCTAAGTTAAATATTGTGTTTATATGGGATTAAGCCACAATTAATAATAATTAATAATAATATTTGACGTTTAGATTTCCACCCTGGAAATCGTTTTCAAAAAAGATATTTGGAAATTGTGCGAATAGAGTACAAAAAAAAAGTTGTTGAGCGGTATGTTTCTTCAAAGTTGACGGTTGACTTACTTGTAGGTAACAGCCATGCTTTTAGCTGTAAAATTGTTATAATATATAATTGTCACATCAATAATTTATCCAGTGCAATCTCCACCTTACAGTGGGTTATGTGCCTTGTTTGTGTACAATATTTTGTTCTAAATCCTCCATTAATATATCCGCTTATAATGAAAATAAGGATGAGCACACGGCTATTCCAAAATTTTGCTTACAGAAATAATTATCTAGTTGAAAATACGTATTAGGTATGGAAAGTGTTAGTAGCTCCACGATAGCTGATATTCAGTTTGGATTTTGTTGTCAATATATCATCACTGTTTAATTTGACTCGTTATTGTTAAACTTTTCTACAATGAGACATTGGTGAAAACGCCGGTGAAACTGATTAGCATATTGTTGGAATCTTATATACTAAAACGCTAAGTCCTTTTCTTGTCCACCACTTTACTCAAAAACCATATTAGATAATTAAAATATTTTTTCGGAATATTATTAGTATTATGTATGAGATTGTCAAGATATACTTTTGGTACAAAAATTCATTTCCGGTTTTGAGAAGACCGGAAGTTAAAATTTACTTTAAGTTTTAGACCCCACAATGTATATATGGATGGAAAGGTCTCGTCGAGACGAATCTAAATATGTACTTCCGGTTGCGATCCGACACCGGAAGTGACCCGAAACGCGCATAAAACGTCAAGATGGAGCAAATCTGACACCGGATTCGTGATCAGCATGCAAAAGTTACTGCTAAATGATATCAGTGTCGATATTTGATGAACTAAAAATTGCACTATATTATTATTATTACTATTATTACCTATATATATATATATATATATATATATATATATATATATATATATATATATATATAAATTAGTATATAAAATTTTATTTAAAAAACTCGATGTCGAGTTGGTCCGCTAGTTGTAATCTATTTCAGCTAGTTTTTACAATAATTGTTGTGGGTTTTTAATAATATGTTGTTTTGTTATCTGCTAAAGGCTGTATTATGTCTAGGAGGAACTTTGATAGTCTGCTGAAAGGAGAGCCCATGCTGCTGCAAATTGATCTGAGGGATACATGTTTTTGTGAATTTTTGGGACTCCGTATAGATGTGGTGTTCTGTTGTAGTGTGGTTAGTGTTCTTCTTTACTAGTCTGTCAGGTGCTCCTAATTTGTGCAGTGTTTTATATTTGTTTTCCATTGATTTTTCCATTGACCAATTCTTGAATTTTCACCTCATAAGGCTTTTTTCCATAGTTCCGGTTGTGTTGTCCTGATTATCTGGTAATTTCCCATTTGGCCTCATGGACTAGAAGCATTTAATAAATTCCTGAGGAACATCAACAATAAAGAAGAATCAATTAACTTCACCATGGAGAAAGAAAACAACAATTCACTTTCTTTTCTGGATGTGTTAATCACAAAAGGATACAGGATATGCAACGAAAGTTTACAGAAAACCAACCTATACCAACAGCTAACAAATTACCACTTAAGCACACAACGTAAACATCAAAAAAGGAATCATCAAATTATTATACGATGAGCCCAAAATACCAGCTCTAATAAAAATTCATTTGAGGAAGAAAAATTCTGCTAACAAAGGTTTTAATAAAAAATGATTATTCATTGTTATTTATAAACAAGAAATTCCACAAGATAGAAGAAAGGCAACAACAAAATACCCTAAACTATTCAGAAAAACCCACAAGAAGGGATTCAAAGATGACAACAATAGCATATGAAAAGGATCAGAAATATTAAAAAGATAGGAAATAAGTACATTACAACAACATTCAATACAAATAATACACTGAGATCCATCTTGTTCAAATCCAAACCAAAGGATTGCATCTATAAAATACCCTGTGAATGCAACAATTTATATGTGGAAGAGACCACAAGAACACTAAGTGTCAGGATAAACGAGCATGAAACATACATCAAAAGCAGAAACTTCACTGCAAATCATAAATATGCAAATATTCCTGGGACTATGAGCACAGAGTATGACAATGACATGAAAAAGAGAAAAATCAAAGGAGCAGCTCTCTTCCAAATCCAGCAGCAGAATGTAGCAGGCTTTGGTTCCCAATACTAAAAGAAGAACTCAACAAGAATGTACAAACAACAGCGGATTAAGAAATTAGAAGGCATCTACTAACAATCATACAGAATACACAGACATTATATGCAAACACACAATACACAAACGCATTATGGGCAAACAGCTAATGCATAAACACAAAATAATCCCGAATCCATGGGTGTTGCATACAAGACCGTGGCCTGGTAAAAAGTCAACCATTAATTTTGAAAAACAACCCGCTCAACAACTTATTGCTTTTACCTTTTTCACACAATTCTTAATTAATCTTTTTTGAAAACGATTTCCGTGGAAATCTAATCGTCAAATATTAGTTAAAAACGTAATTTTTATTAAAATCAATTTTGAGTTAATCCCATATAAACATAATATTTAAAAAATATTTTTTTAAGTAGTTTTCATATTTTACTACTTTTTAATTTTGTGCATTATTCCTTTTATTTTTGGGCATTTAAGTTCTATAGTTTGGCAAACAGTTATTTGTTTCAGTTATCTGCCATCCATAATTTCTTTCATATATACTTAACTTAATTCCATTTTTTGCATGAAACTTAATACACCGTAAGGATATTAACTTAACTAGTGAGTTAAATATAAATTTACGTTAGAAAAATTATTCGTAAACTATGGAAAGTTAATGTTACCTTCACATTTTCCAATATCAATACAGTTGCCGGATTCCTCATCTCTTATTAATCCCTTATTTATATCACATTCGCATCTTTGTTCGCAAGGAAGTATACACCTATCTGGCTCAACGGGAAATTGATGTTGGCAAGTTCGCTCGGAAATACACGGCGATGCACATTCATTAAAAACTTCTAGTGGACCACACCTACCTCCTAAATTAAGATAATTGATATAAAATAGTTAAGATGTTAAATAGATTAAGAATAAATAATATTCGCGGGATATTTGTTCTGACGTTTCTTATTTCGTACTACTTTTTATTTACATAAAATAAAAAAGTGGGCATTTCCCATAAGAATTCACGTGGCATAGGCCGTACTTCAACAAACTTGATAAGCTATGGAATAAATAAATCATAAAATAAATAAAATTGTATATGAATAAAAAACGGGAAAAAGTATATGGTACTACATTGTGTTAATTTGTAATTTGTTAATAAGGAAGTAGAGCACAACTGCAACAATGTCTAATTATACCTTTTTATAAACAGCTCTAAAACTTTAGAGCAGAGTACACAACTTCTGTAGTACAGAAAATATACATTCACTGAAACAAGTCCTATCTCTGAAGTAAATTAAATATTTTTTTTCACTCAGCACACTTGATCATAGGCATTATTATCGTAGGCACTTTAACGTAAAGTAAACAATTATTCACATGTGATTTATTAACAAAATAAAATTGCATTAATAAAAACAAGGTTTAAATCTTATTTTTCATTTTTTTATTATAGCAAGTACCACATGCTAAACTAATCGATGCCCTAACAACATCAGAAATCGAGGGTAAGGATAAAAGACTAGTCTTAAACTTATATCTCCAACAAAAAGCAATAGTGCGATTCGAAAATGCGCTGTCCGAGATCTTCACAGTCAGAAAAGAAGTTCGACAGGATTGTACACTGTCACCAGCACTATTTCACATAATAAACACTAAAAATATCTTTAGAGAAACCTTGGATAATGTTGTAAAATATGTCATAAACACAGCCTAAAACTAAATTGTAACAAGACAAAAAAAATGATCATTAGTAAGAATACCAGCATAAACGTTCATATTTCAATAAGCAATACACCCTGAGACGATATTTTAAAGGTAGTTTTTTGGAACAGTAAAGCTTGGGCTAACAAAGCAGTATCGTTCCAAAAAAACTTATGATTTAAATCAAATTGTTAAAGGCAGGTAAACACAATGTATTGAACAATAATATTAGATATTTGGTAATATTGTTTTACAATATGTATGTACATATATCTATGCAACGTTCATTTTCCAAATACTTATCTTCGACCTTGACAACATTTTCACACACTTTCTTCCAGTTATCTACAGTTACTCTAGTAAATTCCTATTCTATCAATACTTTTACATCTCCTAACTAAACATTTTGTTTTTCAACTCTATTTTTTATTTGCTCCCAAACAATTTTTATAGGGTTCAACTCTGGATAATACGGCGGTAGTTTTAAAGAAACATGACCACATTCGTGGAGTACTTTGTCACATTTATATTGAATATGATCTTGTTTGTGTCGTTTGATGATTTCATACAATGGCGGTTTAACATTGGTGTTAGAAATGTCAATCACGTTTGCTTTCCTTTTAGCAATTGTTGTAGTTGAAAATTTTAGTGAATTATTTTATTCTGCGTTTGTTAACATATTAGCTTGTTGAATGATCTTTTATACTGTACGTAAAAATACTCCAGTAGCTTCGTCAACACGTTGTTTATTATGGGTTCGATTCATTTTAGGAAATAGTATTTTATATAGTTAAACATATTGTAAACTATTCATTGGGATTCTGGTGTCATTCTGATCTTTCTACTCCTACTACACTTAACCATTTCCATTCTAAAAAATAGTTCCAATACGCGTGTTAGCATCTTTTATTTTGAGACTAGACAACATAATGATACTAAATTAGGAAATCGTTTTAAATCCAGTGACTAGAAATTCTTGCAAATAATTGTTACGTACCATAGAAAATTTGTAAAAAATATTCATATTTTAACACTGTCAGTACTGAACATTTTTACTTGTTGCTGATTTTGTATTTATTTTGTAATTAGTGCGGTTTAAAATATAAAACAATCTCAAATTGTTTAATATTGGAATGCCACTGCATGGCTCTTACCATAGATATTCTAATGTCTGCGCCATAAACTATTTCGTGGAATTGCTCGCCACTGGATTTGAAATACCCTCTATAAAGAGTGAAGCATTCTAAATTTTAGAATGACCCTACAAGGCAAAACTGAGGGTAGGAGAGACCCTGTCTGTTGACGTATATCCTGGTTGGCCAATCTTAGAAAATGGACTTGTCTAACGTCAACTGATCTATTTCGAGCTACTGTGAATAGAAAAAGATACCAATACCAATGAAATTAAAAGTTAAATTGTATAACATCTCTGTATATTATCTATGATGTAAAACATGAAATTAGGGATTGCAATTCAGTAGCATTTTCAATCCAGCTGGATTTTTGCAAAATTGGCCTGAATCCAGCTGGATCCAGCACGGATCTAGCAAAAAGTTGAATCAAAATAAAAACATGATTTTAATGTTTTTTTTTTTGTTCATTTATTACTTAAGCTTTTTAATACAAACTAATTAAATAAAAACTCAAAATAAAAATTATTAAATTATAGGTGTATATAATCAAATAAGGACGTATAATCAGTCGTAATTCGCAATCAAGTTTACCTCTCTTTAATTTAAAATGGCTAGAGCAAATGCCACAATTATCATGAGATTAAAAAAAAACTCGTACTCTGCAAGCCGTGGAAGTGAAACATAGGGCGCTGCTTGTATCGACTGAGAATTGTCACGAATTAAATTTTATCCAAATGAACTTTTTTGTAAGAATTTGGTGTAAGAGTAGTTCATTTGCAGCAAATTTCATTGATGACAATTTTGAGCTGACACAAGTTAAGTAATATGTTTTTCTTACATGGCTTAATGAGGTTTTGCCGAGTTTTTTTGGGTATCATGATAAAAATCAGTCTGTATTCTAAATTTCTAAACAACAGAAAGATGAAATATTTAGTTTTTTGGAAGTGATACCTTAAAAATACATTTTATCCATCATCTTTTCGCCTAATCTAGTTCGCACATATCTGCACATATAGCCGGTTGCGGAGAAAGCCCTTTCGGCCTCTATGCTGGTCGGTTTTAAGGTCATCAAATAGTCATAAACCATGGACAAATGATCGCCTTTCACTCCCTCGGTCCCATAAACGGTTATTTCTTTTTTCAAAAGCTTTTCGTAATCTTTTTGAGAACCAGTTTTTTTGGTTATAAAAGTTTTCTCTCTCTTTAGTTTCATTTCAATCTCAAGTTCTTGTTCTAAAGTAAAATTCAGGGGCTCCGAATTAACTTGCATATCTTTTATTACCATTATGTCCTCTTGCACTGTTTCCACAATCACTTGATTATTTATACGACTGTGGAATTTCTTCTGCAAAGAGCTTCTACAGCCAGTTTTACCGGTTAAAGAGTGGCGATCAACTCATTGATTATTGACCACTTGCCAGCAGCGAATTTTATCGCAGAATAAATGTCTATCAACGGTTTATCGATGCAAACTTTTAGGCTGTAGAAACGTTCCAGCATACTGAGCAAACTGTTCCACCTGGTGCGGCAGTCAAGAATCAAACTTAATTCCTTGCCTTTCTCTTCCTTGACACATTTTCTTGTCTTCTTTGGTTGGTGATTTTTTGAACGTTTTAACAACTTTTCGTATTTTCATGAGTAGATCACTGTAAAGGGGAATCAATTCAACAAGACTTAGCGATGTTGGTTCGATTGTTACTGCCAATCCTTCATTCCTCTTTGTCTCCATATCTTCATTTTCCTCTTTGTATTCATCAGTGTCGCCTATGGCTGCTCCTTCTACTTCTCTTTGAGGTTTCTTTTTATATTTTTACGTCTTCTACAGCCAAATGAATCCCAATGGTGTCGGATTCAATCATTAAACCAAAAACTTTCAACCGTTCTACTAATTCAATGCAGTGTTCGGCAGTGCACGAGTCGTGAATTCTGATCAAACCTAGATTAAAATGTTCTGCATTGTGCAAATTGAGATTTATGTATCTATGTTTTTTTTTTGGGGAGATCCACTCGTCGAAGCTCAACGAAAATCTTTGTTCTTTTTGTTTTAAATTAGTAAATTCTTTTGTAAGATTTGCTTGGACCTTCTCTGCATACCTGTAAATTATCGCTCTTATAGTGTTCGTAGAAGTTGATAATTGGAATCCACTTTTTGCGAATAACCGTCTTAAGTCGGGTGAGGTATAAAATGAACTCAAGCTAAAACCATTTTTGCAAACCATCCTAGTAACCATATCTTCCATAGAATTTTTTCTCTCAAAGTAGGAATCAATTCGACTTTTTGCTCGGAACTACTTCCTGATTATCTTCATTTTTTGACGAGGTTGTTTTGAGGGCATTGGGTGCTGATATAATGGTGCTGGTGCTGGAACTTGAAGAAGAGACGTTGCGTATCTTTTTCAGATGTCCTTTTAAGCCTGTTGTTGAGCGGTTGCTAATCAACAATTTTTTTGAGCATAAAGAGAATCTTGCACTTCGATCTTCGTCCAGTTTTGTGAAAAAGTCCCACAATTTTATCATTTTCAAGAGACATTTTAATTAATATTGGAGTAACTATTGCGACGACAGTTGTAACGACAAGTTACTGACTCACGCCTTTGAATAAAGAGGCTAATGAAGACATGAAGTAACTTATTTCGAATTTGACACGTTTGCAGATCCGCGCTGTTATATCCAGCGTGGTTTGCTGGATCCAGCATGGTTTGCTGGATCCAGGGGGATTGCTGGATCCAGCAATTGCAATCTCTACATGAAATATTACGAAGACAAAATGAAAGAACAACGATTGCACGTTTCTGAAATAAGAATGCTTAGATGAATAGTTGGAGTTGACTAAAAACAATAAAACTAAAAAAAAAACTGTTAGAGGAAGTCTGGATGTGATACCAATTAATCTCAAAATAATAGAGATAAATATAGAGATTCGTATGATTAAGGTACGTTCAGTTTTAAAGTAATAATCACTCAATACGAAGAACCGCTGACTGTCAAGTTTCTAGAAGCATCAGGAAATGAACATAAAAAAGACACGGTATGAGTCTAAAAAACTATCCATTGCATTCTGGCAGGCAACGGTGGGAGAAATCTTTTTTTAGATATCTAACGCCACGGAACAAGACACCCTACCCTGGCATATTTCGGCCGAGTAGGATACTAGGCCAGAAGACCCCAGGATAGTGCCGGATTAATGGTGTTTCGGCTAAAACCTTAACCACCGTTCCAGAGAGGTGGTCTTGCCACTCAATGAACAACTAAAATGAAAAAACTAAAAACTTACAAATAACCATACCTATTACCGTAAATCAGAAAATATTTTCGTTAGGCCATAAACTAATAAATAATAATAACCATAAATTTCAGATCCCTGGTTTAATTTCCTCCTCTGTCCTGCTCCTTCTTCTTCATCACCCCAGAAATCAGACAGTGTACTTCTCTCCATTCTTTCTCTCCTCTCAACATTATGTTTACCATGTTTCTTTCATCTAGCCCGGAACCCGTTCGCCTCTAGAAACCTCCCCTCTCCTTGGCCCATCTCTGGCAGTTAAAAATGTGGACGGGAACGTCCGGTACCCCACAAATAGTACAAAACTCTAGGTGCCAAAACTACCATATACGGTCAGGAACTGCGTCAGGAAGTAGTCTAGTTTCCTGAACTTACATTCTCACCACGGCCTCAGGTCGGGAATAAGTTCCTTCGTCCACCCTGCCTTTCCGCTATCATTCGCCCATTCCACTTTCATTCTTTCTCTTTCATTCTCATATTCCCATCCATCCTTCTCGTATACACCCTCGCTCGCTCTTTTCATAACAAGACGATCGGCATCACCGCTCCAATGACATACAGAGCCTCATTTGAAACCATGCTGTATGTGCTACATACCCTTAGGAGCATTCGCCTTTACGAAATCTTTCAGCTTGGCTTATTTCGTAGTGTTTATTGCGCTACAACGCACGGGGGCAGCGTAGGTTACCACCGACTGGAAAACTATATTTAGCACCCTTCTTTTAGTACTACTTGGGCCTCCAATATGTGGCATCAACCGTATCAACGCCTCCAGATTTCGGTTCGCCTTCTCTACCGTCTTCTGGATGTGTACTCCGAGCCTCAGTCCTTCCGACAATCAGACTCCGAGATACTTAACCGATTTAACCGGTGCAACCTCCACACCTTTCGCTATAAAGCGAAGAGAGGATTTATCCCGGCTCCCTTTGGGAACTAACACCTTAGTTTTCTGAGGCGCTAGCTGCAGATGGTTCTCTCTGATCCACCTAATAATACGACGCAGGGCTGTGTTAGCCGCATTAGCCATGTCCGTTTTCTGACTCATCTTCGCAAACAGTGCAAGATCATCGGCATTGGCTACAAGAGTACATCTCCTTGGCATCTGTAGCCTCAACACCCTATTGTACAGGACATTTCACAGGATGGGACCTAGTACTAAACCCTGCAGAACACCCTGCGACAAACTGATGCTGGTATATTTTTCTCTTATGGACCTGTCAGTAAAATACCTGTCAATTACATTGACCAGGTACACACTAACGCTCAATTCTCTCAGCCTGGGCATGATTTTTCTACATGATGCCGCGTTAAAGGCGATAGCCGACGTTAAGCAGGATGAGAGCCACCCATCCCTTTGTATCCTGCGTGACTAAAGAAGTTACTTCTGTGACCGCATCTATGATGGAGCTTTTTTCTCTAAAATCATATTGGCGATCGCTCAGCGTGTGCTTTTCTTTCACCTCTCGCTCAAATCGGCCTTTCACAAGCTGCTCGTACAATTCAGCTACCGAACTAAGAAGGCAAATTGGGCAAAACGCACCTATTTCACTTCACCCCTACCTTTCGGGATAAGGACAACCTTAGCTTCTTTCAACATGCTGGAAACTGCTGTTGTTTAAGCATTTGTTTAGCAATCTCAGAAAAACCTGCGGGTGTCTTAGTGCAACGAGACTTACCATCTCCGGCATGATTCTATCTTTGCCAAGTGAATCTTCATCAATCCAACAGACTTGCCGACTTCCAACTCAGTAAGAGGTTCCGCCTCTACGAAACCAGTAACCCTTTCACGCCTATTCTCCACCTGAGGAAAGAGTTCCCATATTAAACGGAGTTTCTTCCCCTCAGGTAGGGGGTAGGTTGTCTTTTTCCCCTTCAATTCGGTACAGACACTCTTGAAGCCCTGCGTATAGATATAACTTTCGAGATCCTGAAGCAGGTTACCCCAACTTTATCTATTAGATCTTCTTATCTCATTCCGGTATTCATTCTGCATTTGCTTTAATTCATTTATTCTCTCTTCCAAATCTCCTGCTTGTACTCTTCTTGACCTCTTACACTTACACCTTACACCTTATTTCCCTCTCCCACCTTGCACTGGTGGGTTCCATGGACGATCCTTCGCATTCAGGTCATTAACTATGACGACCGGTACAGCTGGTACAGTCTCTGTCCTAGCCTCTTGCATAATCGAATCAATGTACACTTCATATACTCGAAGCGGGATGTTCGGTGAAACATAGCAATTGTACACCACCAGGTTTCCGACATATACCTTAACATAACCATTCTTAACTGAGTGTTTGGTAATACCAGTTCCTCAATTCACCACGTATACGGCCACGTCAGATTTCCCATCTTTAATCATCCCTGTCGAGAGAACAACTTTACATTGGGCTCCTGAAATAGGAGCCTATTTCAGGTCATGTCAAAACGTTCCCTTCGTGCGAGTGCCTCTGCAACGTTGTGAGCAGCCCTCGTCCTCCCACATTTATTTGTAGAATCTTCGTAATAAATGGCTCTTATCTCTTTAACTTACTTACCCGTGTCTGATTCCTGGTCCTAAGTGCTTTCACCCACTCTTTCCTCCTCCCTTCTGATAGGGTATCTCTTGAGCTTCCGTTTTTCAAGGATAAGTTTTCTATACTCCGGACATCGTAAGCTGTCGGCTTACTTACTGGCGGATTATTTACAAGTAAGGCAAAAAGCCTCCTGAGTAATGCATTCCCGTGCCTGGTGACCCCCTTTGCCACATCTGCAGCAGGAGTCCACTCTGTTTTCTCCCTTGTAGTCGATTTTACTATGCCCGAACTGTAGGCATCTAAAGCACCGCTGTATATGCAGTCTCTCTCGTATCTTATGGGTATATGTTTCTCCAGTGCTTTCTTATCTACAGTCCGACCGTAACGTTTGTGTTTCCATCTCTATTTTCCCTTATAGAGACTAATTTGACACCATTAGGCCCCCTGCTGCCGACATATCTCCGGACCTGCCTCAGAATTTCTTCCTTTGTGACATCTCCGTCTATGTCAAATATGCCTACCTGGACCTGATAGCCCCGAACGGCCTCTACCGTGTTTCCCTCCATATGGGTCACAATAGTCTTCAGACGCTCGGCCTGTTCTTTCTCTGCTACTTCACAATTACCTTCTGCGTCCCCGTCCTCCTTTCTTCTCGTTCATACTCCTCCAGTACAAGGTGGAGGTCCATACCTCTAAAGCTGACTTCAAGGAGCTTCCTGGGGTTCCTACCTCTGTAGCCCTCCAATACTCTTAAAGATACCTCTATGGTCTCTATAATCTCTATGTCTTCCCTCAATTTAGTAGTCTTTTCTTCCCGTCCATTTCCGTCTCCCTTTTTTTCCACAGGGACAATAAAAATAGTCTGACGGCTTCCTCGGTTCTCCTCCTCCTGGCCCTTTCTTGTAATTTTGGTCATAGTATTGAGTTTGAAGTATTTCACTTGTCCTGATCTATATGTACCTTCAGTGTACATCCCAGTTCCGGTTTTTTCTTTACCAGGTCGTGGAAACTTTCCCCCTTACCAAAAAGTCCAGGTGATCTACCTGCTGCCTTATTATCCCTGACCATGTTGGATATTTATTAAAACTTAAAAAAAATTTGTACCTGAAATAAAATATTACGTATTATACGATCCTATTTAAAATTACCTTACAAAAGAGCGTACCTACATGGTATGTACAATTTAAGCAACGTTATACTCACGCATACCGGAGCACTTTTCCCTAGGAATACATTGTCCAGAAATTTCATCTCTTATAAATCCAGCTTCAACATCGCACTCGCATCGTGGGTAACATATATCTGCACATATTTTTGGATTTGGACTGTACTGTTTTGGCAGGTAGGGTCAGGATTACACGATGCACATTCATTCCATATTTCTCCCGGTAAACAACCTGAAAAGTAGTGTTCACTTTATCATAATCGTGAATGAGAAATCGGACAATATTTTGTAAACAAAAAATATAGTAAAAGTAAATATAAACCAAAGTGAAAGGTACAGAGATATTGATATAATTTATATTTATTTTTAACCTTGTTCTAATATCTAATGGTAAAAGGTATAGTAGTTATATCAAAGTTTCGGTATTTCGATGACTTTTTTAATAGCGAGGAGGTCATGCGGCACTTTATTTAAATCTGAATTATTAAAAATCTGATTCTAAAAATATATTACAATAATAATTTTTGCTTATTTATTACCTGATTAAATAGTAAAAATTTCCCTGTTTTTTTGTCAGTTTTACATATTTTATTTTACTTTATCTATTTAACCTATTATTTGTTTATCAAAAAACTGTCAAAAATTGTCAAAATCCTATTATTAAATGTTTATACCTACGAAATTGACGAGAACTACCACGAAGCCATAAGAATTTTTAATTCAATATGGTTCAATTCGATGTAAACGATTTCCTGACATTATTTCTAAATTTCTACATTCAATATTTCTAAATTTTAATTCGTTATAGAGCCGTCTGTATTAAGCAGAAGTGTAGATCGTGATTGTGTGTTAAGCAAATTTTTGACAGGCCAGAGAACAGAAAACAATTTATTTAATTGTTTAGTTCTTCGCCGCCAAAGCAGATGGCACCTCTGTGTCTGAACACTGAAAGTGGGAAGATATTGGAGACATTTGCAGAAAGGAACTGCTATTTGCAAATTTTTGCCACCAAAGCAGATGGCACCTCTGTGCTCGAACCACTAAAGTGGGAAGATTTTGGAGACATTAGCTAGACTTTTTGGTTTGAATCGGAATCAGCTCGAATGGCTGACGAAGTAGAGATACTGAAATAAATTTTATATCGTTATATTGGTTCTGATTCAGAGGTGAAAAGTTTGACTAATTTGTGCTGCAATGCCATAATGAATATATGGCTTTTATAAAATATCGCATTTATGGACGGCAGCATATTCTGCACCAGATAGCTTGACAGTCTGTTAAAAGTAGGGTTAGAACTATTTTTTTAAGGAATATTATTTGTTATAAATGCTGATTTAGTTTTTGACAAAATAGAAATTTTAAAGAATGCGTCTGATTTTAACATAATAAAATGACCAGTAACTCTCATATACTTACTTGATTTTTTACACAATCAATAAAAATGTCCAACAAAACACAAATTTAATATGTAACGGAGTCTATCTCAGTATTTTAAATAACTTGATCGTTTATTTTACTTACCTGGACATTTTTCTATAGGCACACATTGTCCAGAGATTTGGTCACGAATTAACCCATTTTTAGAATCACATTCACAACGCTGTTGGCAAACAGCTGGACAGATACCTGGAGCTTCAGGTATTCTGTTTTGACAAGTAGCCTCAGGATCACAAGATGCACAATCGTTCCAAATTTCGCCAGGTGGGCAACCTATAAGGACGAATTAAATGTATAGCAAAAACCAGAAACAATATTGTGATTGGTTATGAAATATAGCTAGAAAAGTAAACTCACAAACTAGTCATTTAACAATAACACCCCAGGCCCTCACAACAAAATAAAAGATAAAACCAAATGAGAGCATATGGAAATATTTTAAATTATTTGTTTTGAGTGCAAATAGATTCACATTTACAGCATATTTTGTTAAAAAGATATCAACCCACATGCAACCTATTGAAGGTTAATATCCAGGTGATAGTCAAGGCAAACTTAACAAAACTTATATCTCTAAATGTAAAATAACAGTCATTTAAGAGATGTTTTTATATAATAAAATGAATTAAGTATAATACAGGATATCGGATAACATAAAAACAAACTTTAAGTTCAAATTAATTTAAAGTTATTTATTGACATTATATTTTTTTATTTGCTTAGCCAGTTTATATTTGTATTTTTATGTGGTATTCATTTTAAGATTACTCCAAAGATTTTGGGCACTGCTTGAGTAATACACATTGCCCGTTTATGGTATTTCGGACGTATCCTTCTTTACACAAACATTCTTGAAAACATATTAGCGGACATATTCTGGTACACGGTGGAGGTTTGGGATTGTCACAAGTTGCTTCTGGACAACATGGTCTACATCCATAGACTTGGTTTGGACCGCATCTGTCTACAAGGAGAAATTGTAATTAATGTACGATTTCATTATGGCATTGGATTACGAAATAGGATAAAACTTTATTCAAGAAAGACTGAAATAAATGAGGTGAAGTAGATTCAGTGAAGTATATTAGTTTAGTAGAGGAAGATCAATGAGTTATTCATTTCACTATTTAAATTGACATGATTTTGTGCTTACAATGCATGCCTCACCCAATAATGTAATTGCTTATTTACTAAAAGCATAGTAAGAATATAATACCTATAGATTAAAATAATATTACTACTCCGCATTTTTAAATTGTTTGTAGCTTCGGAATATTTTTGGGTTTTTTTTTTTTATAAACTATACTGTGCTGAATTCAAATATGAGCTCAAGACTCAGACTTTGCTGCCTTAATCCGAATATACCTGATCGAATGACAGCCGTAATTATTGCTTGTGGATCGTGGGGGTAATACACTCTACTAAATATCGTTTTCCATAAAAATGTTCATATATTTAAAAAATATTAATTTTTGTTTCGTTGCAGATTTTCAATTTTTTTTTAATTGTTTGTTGTTTTTTCTGTGTAACTTTCTTAGGTTGTGATAAATTTGACTTTTAAATTTTGTTTTTTATGAAATATTAAATTGGGAACATCTTAAACTTTTTTAACTGCTAGTTTTTAAGAAAAATCTGGGTGTCCGGTTAATTTTGCACTGCAGTGTATTTTTTTTATAAACAACTTCAACTAACTAGAATATTTTGTCTTATTTCTTTATTTACCCTTGTTCTTGCCATCTCGTCTTTTAAATTCCTGAAATTTATACCCTGATATTTATATTTTATCTAGTTTTAATTGTTTCGACAATTCCTAAATTTTATCTCTTTCAAGAAAAGTTTATTTTTTTTGTTTTACTGTTTATTTTGTCTCGATAATTTCATCAACTCAGCTTGATAAACTTGATCCTTCCCACAGTTTTATTTTTATTATATTTTTTTCTTATTTTTAAATGAGCTTCTTACGTCTGCCTTCTCTTTTCTAGCATTTTTTATATATTCTTTCGTTAAGATTTCTTCATCTTACGTTTCTACATTAACTTCTTTTATGTGTTTGTTGTGCATTTTATTCTTTTTTTCTTCTAGTTTTATTTAGTTTTTTTATTTTGTCCTTGATTCCTTTAAATTTTCTTTAATTTTTATTCTTAATTCTTTTAGAAATTCCTTTATTCTGTATCGGTGATTTCTGTTCTTAATTTATTTGTTATTATTCTTGCCCCAGTATCATATCTTTGGATCTTTTTTTTCTATTTTCAAATTGGCTGTCGTGTTCTCCTTTCTCCCCTCCTCGCTATTTTCAACTTGTTATTGTTGGTCATGTGGCTGTTTTAAGTATACAAGTTTTTAACACTGCTTATGGTGTTACGAATATTTGCCTAATTAACTGATGGTAATCTCTCTGTGTATTTGTCTCTTTCCATTGGTAAGATGAAATTTAATACCCGACTGTTTTGTAAATAGTTTGTCTCTTGTTTGTTCTCTAAATTATTAACATTACACACATTACACAGATTTTGTTAAAATATGTGTAATGTGAGAAAATGAACATTGAATTTCAGTAAACTGCAATAATAAAAAAAACTTACCTTTACATTTTTCAATGTCAATACATTCGCCAGATATTTGATCCCATATCAATCCATTGCTTTGATCACATTCACATCTTTGATCACAAGAAAGGATACAGACAGACGTTTGGTGCTACTGGAAATTGATATTGGCAAGTTCGCTCTGGAACACAAGGCTACTCACACTCTTTATATACTTCAGATTGGCCACAATTGCCTGTTAAATCAAACGAACAAACATATATTTGTAGTGTTAATTATTGCTTACGACTTTTTAATATACATGCAGTGTTGCTTCATTGTTGTTCTAAATTATGAATGATTCAACGTTGCTTATATGATTAATGATCAATAAAATCGATCTTCCGTTTTTCCTGTCATTAAACGGGAATATTTCAACTAGGAATATCTTATAAGTAATATTTTTATTATAAGGTACACTCTAAAATAATGCCTTGGGTAGTATAAATAATAACTTTTTATGTTGAATATTTTTTGCGCCTTCTTTATGGTTCATGTATTATCTCTTACAAAACAAAAATATGCCGACCCGTAATAACGTGCGATCACTTTACTAACACAACAATGGTCTTAGTAGTTGGATTTCCTGGTTGTTACCAAATGATTGCTTATTTCGCATTAAAAATGTCCCAACATGTTGACTATACATAATGCAACTGGATCAGGTGGTGCGTTGGATACTGAAAGGTTTGTATAAAAAGTCCTTCGGCGTTTCAATATATCACAAGATATCATGAGTAAACCATCGAATCAGTTTTTAGCAACTGTAATATGATGAATAAATACCATTTCATAGCTGTAACTGCAAAAAGTATATCAGCAATTAGGAGTTCAAGAATATACAGCTTTTTCAAAGAAAGCTGTTAAAAAAATAATTAGTGGTCAAGCTGTTAGATTGCAAGCTAATAATTTAAGGGCTGGAAGTGCCACACACTTAATACTGAGGAGACAACAATGTAAAGTTGACACCAAATTAAGATTACATTACGGTTTTTCTCGATGTCATTTTAATTTATATAATTTTACCTGAACAATCACTTTTTAAAATACATTCCCCAGTGATTAGGTCGCTTATATAACCTAAGTCTGAAATACACTCGCATCTAGGTTTGCTAACAGTTATATACACCTGATAATATTGTTTGAACGTTTGATCGTTTGAACGTTTCTCTTGACAATTTGGTTCTGGTACGGATGGTGACGCGCATTTATACAAACTTCACGACGTTTACACCCAGCTAATAACAAACGATAATATATTATGTCCTAATAATTGTTACTTGCTAGAAAATAAATATACTCATTAATTAATATGATATGTCCAAATATTTTGTAGCTTCTTTTTTTCATAATAATTATCATCACTTCGAAAACTTTGCTTTTTTCTTCAGGTGAATTGGCATCCTCGATTTGAATATAAATGCATTTCTACCAAAAAATGCCCAAGCTAGTTTCATTTTTCTGTTGATGTCTGGAAGTAAGGCACCAGATTTATGAATTAAATGTCTTAGGTATACATACTCGTCTACTGTTTCAAGTGCAGTTTGGTTTATTATTACATCTTGGAAATCCACTAGTTCGTACATGATTTTTGTTTTTGTCAATGCCTTATGTGGTCAAATATATATATATATATATATATATATATATATATATATATATATATATATATATATATATATATATATATTTGTTTGGATGGGTTGGAGTCAATAAAAGGGGCTATTTGTTAACTATTTTTTACTCGAGCTTTCAATTGTGTTTACAATCATTATCAAGAGCTGCTAAAAAAATTAGTTTGATATATAAAAATGCTGCTAACATATTTCAAAAAATATCAATATAAAAATGATCTAATCTCATAAATGCTTCTCTGAAATTTTAATATAATTTTGAAGAAGTTTCTTCATATAAAAACAATTAAATTTATAAATAAATTTGAATATTAACAATTACAAATAAGCCTCAATGTATATATATATATATATATATATATATATATATATATATATATAATATTTATATATCTATCTATCTATTTATACAGCCCTTGCTGTTAAATTTTGGATATAGGCCTCCTCTTCCTTCTTCCACTTCTCTCTATTGTAGGCAGTTTGTATCCACTTCGGGCCTGCGTGTTTCTTCAAGTCATCTGACTATCTCATTTGTGGCCTTCCTCTTTTTCGTTTGTAACTATATGGTCTCCAGTGTATAATCATCTTATTCCATCTGTCGTCTTTCTGTCTTATGGCATGTCCATCGAACTTCCACTTAAGTTTTGCTATCTGCGTTGATACATCGATCACTTTTGTTTCGTTGCGGATCAAAGTATTGCTTTTCTTGTTTGATAGCCTGATGTTCAGCATTTGCCTTTCCATGGCTCTTTGGGTCTTTGCTATTTTTTCCATGTTTTCCTTTGTAAACGTCCAAATTTGAGAACCGTAGGTGAGAACAGGAAGTATACATTGGTTGAAGACTCTTGTGTTTAAATATTGGGGGTATTTTCTATTTTTTATTATATAGGAAAGTTTTCCGAAGAATATCCAAGCCAACCGTATCCTTCTCTTTATTTCTTCAGTCTCATTTTCTGTATTTAATTTAACTAGTTGTCCCAAATATACATATTCTTTTACTTGTTCTATAGTTGTTTGTGCAATTGTAATTATTAATTCTTCTGGTTGGTTGGTCATAATTTTCGTTTTATTATAATTTATTTGTAGATCTATTTTTGTTGATTCGCTATTTAATTCACCCATCGTATTTTGTAATTCTTCTCTTTTATCTGTTATTAATACAATGCCGTCTGGATATCTCAAATGATTCAAGTATTGGCTATTTATGTTAATACCCCGTTTTTTCCATTGTAATTTCCTCATAACGTCTTCCAAAGCTGGATTGAATAGTATGGGTGATATAGTGTCACCCTGTCTGACTCTTCGCCGTATCTTAATAGATTCCATTTTGTATAGAGTTCTTTACTGTCTAATGTTCCACCTTATCGAATGCTTTTTCAAAGTCTACAAATGCCATATACATTGGGATTTGATATTCGTTGGCCTTTTCAATTAATATTTTTATCGTAAGCAGATGGTCGCTTGTACTGAATCCTTTTTTAAAACCGGCTTACTGTCTTGTCTGGTAATTATCTAACTTAGTTGTTAATCTGTTTGTTAGAAGTTAACAGTTTGTACATTACATTAAGTAGTGTTATGGGCCTATAGTTTTTCAGATCTTTTCTATCGCCTTTCTTAAATAGTAATAGTGTTATTGCCTCGTTCCATGTGGTGGGTATTTGTTTTGTATTCAATATTTTATTCATTAGTACATAAAGGACTTTCACTGTAGTTTTCCTCCCATATTTTAGCATTTCCACAGTTATTCCATCTTTCCCAGGAGATTTGTTATTCTTCATTTCTTTGAGTGCCTTTTTTATTTCATTTTTACTGATTTCTTGTTGTAGGTCAGAGTTAACGTACTTTATTTTCAATTGTAACTAATTACGGATTTCTTGGGTTGGTTTTTGTTCGGTTTTATAGAGATTTGTATAGTATTCGTGTGTTATCTCTAAAATTTCTTTAATATTGTTGGTCTCAACTCCTTCTTTGTTCTTTATGGTATTAATATGTATGTTTACTAGGTTCTGCTTAAAGCAGCTTAAATTGTTTTCTCTATCTTTTCCTCCTATACTCTCCGTTTACACTTCTTGATATTTTTTCTATTAGTTGTGTTTATTTCTTTGTATTTCATTTTATTTCTGTCCCCTTGTTCTAGTAATGTTCTTCTTGTGTTTATAAGAATCTTTGTTTTCTAGGATATGAAACTTTTTTTTGTTGTTATCTGTGCTATTTCTTTACGCACTTTCATTAGAGTTTCAGTAAATATCATGTTTATTTCATCGATATGTTTGTGTTCTATATCTTCTTTGGTCGGCAATATTTCCTTTATTCTCTCTTCGTACGTCTGTTTTTGTTGTTTTAGTTTTTCCTTGTCTAATTTCTGATTATTTTCCCTTTTCTTTCTTAATTACTATTTAACTGGGAATAAGCCACAATTAAAGGTAAACATACGTTTATTGACGTTTCAATTTCCACTTCGGAAATCGTTCTCAAAATACAAACAGTAAATTATCGTTCTCCAGATACAAACAGTAAATTTACTGTTTGTATTTTGAGAACGATTTCCGAAGTGGAAACTGAAACGTCAATAAACGTCTTTTTACCTTTAATTGTGGCTTATTCTCAGTTAAATAGTAATTAATTTAAAATGCCACAAGAAAATAGTTTCAGAACAATATTTTCTTTCTTGTTTCAAATCTACTAGCAATGATCAGTTTGGCTTGGGCTAGCCTAGGGTCGCTACCAGTTGAGAAGCGATTTAAGGCTGTTACGTCTTTAACCATGGATTTTTGCGTTGAAAAAATATAATCAATTTCGTTTTTAGTTAACCATTGGGACTAATCCATGTCCATTTTCTTTGGGGTTTTTTCTTAAAGAATATATTTATTGCATATAGTTTCTTCTCCTCCAAGTAATTAATTAATGTGTGTCCTCTTTAATTTCTTTTGCCATATCCATGGTGTGCTACTTTGTCTTCTTCTTTGTATAGTTGTTCTCCTATTTTGGCATTGAAGTCCCCGTTTATTATCGTTAATTTTGATTTCTTTTCTTCCATAGCTGTTATGTCTTCGTAGAAATATTCAATATCTTCATCGCTGTAGGTACTTGTTGGAACGTACACCTGTATGATTTTAAGGACGTTAATTTTAATTTAAGCGTCGTGTATGCTACTCTATCTGATATGCCCTTGGTGGATTGTATGTATTTAGCTACTTTTTTTATTTATTAGAAATCTATAATTTATATTTATATAATTTATATTTTGAAAATAAGGCTATTATCGAGCACAAGTTAATTAAATCTAGCCCAAGTACTTTCGCTTAAAATAGCATCTTCAGGGGCATTTCGTCAAAATGTAAACTATCCGGCAAGCGTAGAATGTGGAAACATTAGAAATAACATAAAATTGTACAAAACACTACACTAAAACGAGGACAAACAGTTTAAAATTAATTAAAGATTCTACGCTACATTCTCTGTCAGTATCTGGAGGGATAATCATTATTATGGTCTTTTGCAGACCATAAAAATCATGTTCCATTTTTTTGAAAAGTGTTCCCACTGATCATGTTTTATTTTTCTTACCAGTGCATGTGTTTCGTTTCTTATTGTCTTGTAATTATGGTATGTCTATTTATTTTGATTGACATGTATGTCAGTTGAGTTTTTTTGTTTTCTTTACATTTTCCATTCACTTCTGTACAAAACCATGGAGTTCGTTGGAAAGGAAGAATTTAGTTTATTTATAAACATTTTGTTTATAAAATAAAATGCTAATGAAAAGTGCATTACTAATGTAATGTTTTATAAAATATTTTTAATAACTACAAATTATGTTCGGTATCGGTAATTTTTCAGAAAACTTTTGTTCATGTAGAACGATGTAATTGCATATTAATAATAACATAGTTTTTCATTCCAAAGCACTTTTTATAATAACAATTTTAGATATTGTGAAATATAAAGGTACTTTAGTTACTGGTAGTTGCATGTTAGATTTTAAAACATCCAGAGCTTTTTATAAAGAAGTAACTTTTTTCGTAAAATTAATAATAAAACAGTTTCCCATATGGTTCCAAATTACTCAGACATACTGTATATTTTGTTTACAAAGTTTCACCAATATACCAACGTATGGCTTATGTAATGTTTCCTGTAATATTTCTAGCTTTTTTTTTCATTCAGATTGTTTAGTCAAAATTTTAAAAATAACTTATAATACGATGATTTGTTAAGTTTGTTACATATTGTTAATTTTGTTATAATTAGCTAGTGTATTTGATTTTTTACTTACCACAGAGTTGGCCGAAACTGTTTTGACACAACAGTGCTATTAGCACAAACAACACTTTTTCCATTCTGAATTTTCTTTATTTCTATATTTCTTATTTTTTTTAGTATTTATACGGTGAAATAAATATTTATCTGTTAATTTAAATAAATAAAAATTGTATTTCACAACTTATTTGTGTTTATATTACTTCGTTGAACGTTGAACTTTATAATTAAACATAAGGTAATGTAACTTGGTTTATTACTTATGCACCTAACTAGTCTAATTAAATATACTGCCTAATAATAACTTTATGTTGATTACTTAACCCCAATTAATTAATTTATTGTTGTTGAATATAAATGCAATTGTATATTTTTACTTGGAAATTCGTTATAATTTTAGTTCATTTCATTCGTATCACTTTCACTTAAATTAACTGAAAATTGTTTATTTTTATTTGCTTTTATTGCAAATTTACAATTTTTCACTTGATAAATAGTGCTATTTACAACATGAAATATAGTATTACTTACATAGTTACATTTTTTAAGGGGATTGCATAAGTCTCCTGCATTGATGCTCTTGTTATTGTCGTTTGTTCCTTTGCTAATTAATATAGATATTAATCCACAAGGAATCTACGTTCCTGTAGTTGGCTGTATACCATATATGAGGCGCTCCGAGGAAAAAGGGCGAATACGCCAGTTACAGTTTTTTTTTTAATGCAATGGATAGCCTGATCATTATTCGAACAATGTACCACCATAACATGGTTTATTCGTCCTTTCTATTCAGAACTATAATAGGTTGACTTAACGGAAGCAAACTATATGAATCTTAAAAAGTATGGTAAATGTTCCGTGGAACAACGGCGAATACGCCACCGCTACGTCGGTACACAGCTAGCCCTCCCACTTCTGTCTTGCCAAATTTCTGAATAAAATTTCCGCGATTTCCGTCTTATTTTTACCGTTTTAAGCTACAGTGTCGTTTTGCTTGTCAAAACAAGTAGTTTTTATTTTGATTAGTTTGAATAGTTTTGAGTTACTTTACTAATAAAGTTAAAATTTTACTGCTACAATGTCAGAAAGCGAGTTTACAGAAGACCAAAACAAAGGCTACACTAGAAAAAGGTCGAAAACTGAAGACACGTGGCAAAAGAATGTGAATAAAGTTAAAAGAAACTCAGGTGAAGAATACAGCACCATTAAAAACAGAAAACGTGTGCCTAAGCGGACTGTGGGAAGTCCCTGTTCCTGTGGATGTTTTGAGAAAGTAGGTTTGGAGAAAATAAGTATAATTTTTAAAAACTTTTGGGAATTATTTTAGTATAACCTATAAAACACTTACTTATCTAAAAGAGTGAAATCTGTTTCTGTCAACCGTTGTCGCATTAAAAATCGACCTAGTCGAAAGTTACGTAGTATTGAGTACAGTGTACTTGAAAGCAATAAATTTAAAGTCTGCAGAAAAGCATTCTATGCGATTCATGGTGTCACTGAAAAGAGGGTTCGAACTGTTTTGAATAAAGTATCCACAAGTGGCACTGTAGAATTGGACAGAAGAGGAAATAAAAATCCAGTTAACAAAGTAAGTGTAGAAATGAAAGAAACTGTAATGTTACATGTAAATATTTTACCCAAATGTTCAAGCCATTACAGCAGAGCAAAAAGCCCTTACCGAAAGTACCTTTCCACAGACTTAAACATAAACAAGTTGTATGACCTGTACTGTGAGTGGATGACAGAAAATCACCCTTTAATTGAACCTGTCAGCTCACGGTTCTATCGTGACACATTTAATAAAAAATTCAATATTGGTTTCAACCCTCCTAAGTCGGATACTTGTAATTTTTGTGACAAAACAGATATGGAACTTTCAAATTGTGATGATTTACAACGTAACCAATTACAAGTTGCCAAGGAACTTCATTTAAGACGAGCCAAAGCAGTTCAAAAAATACTTAAAAGTTATAAAAGTAATAATGAAGACTCAGTTTCAGCAATTTGTATAGATCTGCAGCAAACTCTCCCTACCCCTAAACTGACGACATCTGTACAGTATTACAAAAGGAAGCTTTGGACCTACAATTTTGCAGTCCATGATGTTAAATCTGGAAAATGTGTTATGTACATGTGGAATGAAAGTACTGGAGGTCGTGGTTCATGTGAAATAGCAAGCTGCTTGTCCCATTACTTTGATTCTATGGATCATCAAGTCAAAAAAGTTGTGCTATTTAGTGACAATTGTGGCGGCCAGAACAAAAATATGAACATTGTTTTAGCTTGTTTGAAAAAAATTCATGAATTAAAATTTGATTTCATAGAACATTACTTTATGATTCCCGGACATTCATATTTACCTTGTGACAGGGATTTTGGTCACATTGAGTTAAGGCTTCGAAATATTGATGTTTATTCTGAAGACCACTATATTGACTTAATTCGTTCATCAAGGAAGGTCAGACCATTCAAAGTAGTAAAAATGACATCATCAATGTTTTTTGATTTCACTGCTCTTCAGAAGTTAATTACAAAAAGAAAATCAACTGCTAGTTTTAAAGATGCTAAAGTATTTCTTTACTCCAAGTTGTTCAAACAAGGGTTTTCCATACAACCAACGTACCAAAATGTTTTGTCCGAACAAGTTGTTTTGCAGAAAGGAAAAGTAGGAGAATATCAATGCCATTTGTTTGATTTATCTGCCGCAGTTTTGTCTCCTAAATACCAACAGCCTATAAAACTTTCAGAGGAAAAAATAAAAGACATCAAGTCACTTCTTCCATACATACCGCTTCATCATAGGAGTTTCTTTGATGAGCTGATCTCTCTCCAAGAATAACAATTTGGCAACGCTAACTGGAGAAAGTCAGGATGATGTTATGGATTTCTGCTTGAATTAATAATTTATTGTTTGGTGTTTTTTTAGTTTTTGATTTATCTTAAACAGAACAATTTTTAATTAAAAAATGTTTTTCATATCATATCCTTTGAATAAAACTTTTTTCAATATCCTGAATTATAATTTTGGTTTAGATGGGGTGATCTTATTTGCTTAACAAGCAAAACTTTTTATAAAAAAATAGTTTTTACCTAACCGCATTACAAAATTTTGATGACGTGTATATTCGCCCTTATTGAATTAAGAACACTTTTTCAACTTTAATCGCGTTTTTCTCAAAATGCCCATTTGGCGTATTCGCCGTTTGTCCACGGAGCGCCTCATATTAAAAAAAATTGTTAAAAATCCATTTTAAAAGGTATATATTTAAGAACCCAAACAGGCTAAGTTAAACTGACAAAACGTTTTCGGAATCCATATTCCATCATCAGTGTCTAGGAGTACATGAATGTAGCCACTAAATATATAGGTAAAAACCCGTTAACAAATAATTAATTACATTTAGTTTACAAAATTTTTTATAATGATTTAAGATGTTAAAGTTACCGTTGGATTAGGTAACATGGCGACATATGACTCCACGTTGAAGTTGCTAGTCCTGAGACGGTGTGTCTACGAGGACTGTATGGGAGCAACTGTTGCTCCCCACTATCTCCAGTAATTGTTAATATCTTTATGGAAGACTTCGAGCCCCGAGCACTATCCACATCAATGCTCAAACCCACATGCTGGTTAATATAATATTGTCGATACATTCGTCATTTGGCCTCATGGCAGAGAGGCTTTGATGTCATTTCAAACCCAACTGAATGGAATACATCCTAGTATCCAGTTCACGATGGAGGTGGAAACTGAATTATCCCTATCGTTTCTCCACATTATCATAAATAAAAACCAATTTAAAGGTTTTCAGCACTTTGTTTATCGAAATCCCACCCACACCAATCATGCCAACTCTCATTATTGCCCTTCACAAATATATTCAGGTATTACTACGGCTGTCTTCAGATCAATACGGCATTGCGATGATGCAAGTAGACCCGCAGAGCTCTCTAGTTTATAACAAGCCGTCATCCAAAACGGTTACCGCGAAAATCACTTCAATAGGAGCATCCACAGGCATCGATCTCCCACTCAATCTCAACTCAAAGACTCAGATCCTCATCATACGAAAGCTTACATCAAAGGTGTCACTGACAAAATCGACAAAATTCTAAAATAAGAGGAATAAAGACAATATTTACCCCCTAACAAAAACTTTCAACTCTTGTCCGATCAATTAAAGACAACATTCTAAATGAACAACACGGAGTTTATGAAATTTCTTGTGCAGACTGTCCCCGATCCTATATAGACCAATCAAATCGTAGAATCCAAAATAGTTGTTTTTTTATTTTCTTGTGTGAATTTTTTGCATATGTTAATTCTGTTGGACCTTCTATTCCTTTGTTGCATTTATTCCGCTTTTTAGAATGACATTATATTTGACGGTTTATGTTTATACGGACAATATTTATAAGTATTTTAAGACCAAAAAATAAGCATAAAAGACCAAACCTGTTTTTCCCTCTTTGACTTGTCTAATTATTCTGAATTAATATATCATTTAAATTGTTCGTAATAGCGGCAAAAACCTTCTTCATTGCTATTGAGTACTGTATATCTGAAATACACATAAAATTTATTCGGATTCACCTGTAGCGAATTTTAAACAGATATCTGTATACACTAAAGATAACTTCCACAAATGAAATATCACGTCCCTGCTATTTGCCAAGCCCCTGCTCGCAGGCATAGAGAGTAGGTTTTATGACAAAAATATTTGTCAAGCTGAATTATTCGGGATTGTTTCTAATATTGGACGCTAATCTGATTACAAATTTACCGTTACCGGAAAATCTGAACACAGTATGTATTGACATTTGAAAATCAGCGTTATTTGAGATATTGCATTCATTTTTAGTAAATGGATTCATGCCGTGATGAACATTTATTTAATAAAATACTGCTAAAAGAGCATATGTAGTATAAGAAAAACTCTATCTAACGTTGGTGGAGGATATCGGCCAGGAGAAAAAATACAAGTAGAAATTACGAATCCCCTTTATTAAAACCCAGTATTGGTGTTTCTTCCGAACTAGAAGGTTGGCTCGTGAAGCGCGCTTAATTACATTTTGCTCG